CTCACTCACTTACTCACTCACTCACTTACTCACTCACTCACTCACTCACTCACTCACTCACTCACTCACTCACTCACTCACTCACTCACTCACTCACTCACTCACTCACTCACTCATAATTGTAACCAGAGCAAGAATAATTAGTGATGATAGTAATTGCGAGCGGACCTCGATACCTACGGGGTGTCGCAATAAGAGCTATGGGTGCAGTGTGATGGGCCTGCTTTGCAGACGATGAGCACGTGTGCGCTCCGGAATGACTGTGATGAAGTGTGGTATGATGGCTATGGAAGTGCTTGGTACGAGGATTGGGCCGGGGCCCTGTTTGAGAATGACTGGTATGATGACGATTGGAGAGCGCCCCAATGGTGGCATGATGATTGGTCCTGGTCTTTTGATCAAGACTCGTCTGCGTTGGAATCCGTGGTGGAATTTATTTGTCTGGGCTCGATTGCGAACTTCGTGGAGTCACCGATGCCATTGATGCTAACTACGGTCATCTGTCTCGCATTGTTCAAGTTTTCTAGACCCCGACCCGACCAAAAGTTCCACAACGTGGATTGGTGGTCTTTGGATGAAGACACGTTGACCCTTACCCGAAAGCATGTCACACCTCGCTTGGCATTGCACACATTGACTCGTTCATGCGTTGCTATGCCATGCCCTGAGTCGAGATTGACCGGGCATCGTGTGACACGTCAGACTTTCAAAGACGGCACCACGGCCGTCAGTGAGGATCTGGATTTCCGCATGTTGCGAGATCCTGATCAGCGTCGTCTTCCTCTACAATTGCGCCTCGTGCCAAACCTGGCCCGACGCCTTTTGCTAAGGCTAACGCTGGCTTGAGGTCGAAGCCCATTGTTCAGGCCTGGTTCTTTTGGCAAGCGTATTCGCATCGTTTCCAAACGACCCCACCTGCCCCTGACCCTCTCATTGATCCGCCGGTGTCGAGCCGAGGGACCGAGAAGTCAAGGCAAATGGCTAAGGCAGATCATTCAGGCATTGTCAAATCTGGTGATACTGAGACTTCGATCAGTGATCGTCTCAGATCATTGATTAAGCTTGATTCCAAGATGGCTGAAGAATTGATGCGGCTCTTCCGCACGCCGGATATTATGACTGGATTGGAAAGAGCTTCTGATCATTGGTTTCAGCATCCAAGGTATTGGGTTAGGTTCGTTCATCGTTCTCGGTGTGTCATTGTGAATCCTGCCCAGAACCTTCGCCCATTGGATTGGAATCGTCTGGCGTTTTTGGAGAGTTGTTGAGCGCTGGAAGGTACACCTAAGTTGTTCAGTGTTCTGATCCTGTGAAAGTAGGAACTTTGATTGAGGATCGATAGTGTGATATGCTTGCTGATCAAGGATTGGTTGTCATACCGGATTTAGATCCCCGTCGTGATCTTGGGTTTGATTGGCCAGGTTTCACTGTCTTTGAGATCTTGCCCACGTCGATTGATGTCGACGAGGAGAATCATCCCATTGAGCGGGCCAGAAATCCCAAAGGATTAAGAGCTCTGGAGAACCTACAAATTTTGAGCGAAAACAACATGAATTGACTCATCTTCCATTCAGATCATGGTGCAAACATTGTACACAAGCCAAAGGACGACATGCTGCTTCCCGACAATTGAAGGATCGTCAGTTGATAAAACTCGAATTCCCTGCGTGTAAAAACATGTGTCAGGCTATGCTAACCTTGTCCAATGTTTATCATTTGGCTCAAGCATGAAAAAGAGCGTAACTGAGTTGCTCTTTGCTTTCAGGGTCTGCCCAGTGCCCTGTTCTGTGACTTCCATACCCACCCTTGGTGTTGTCCTTGGTTTGGGGTCTGGATAACTGGTTAGCAGCCGTATTTTTCCGTTCAGGGCCAATTTCAGGCTTTCCTGTGGGGTTGGATCTGCTAATCTGTTTTCGGAAGACGAGGTGTGCAAACAAAAAGATCTATCATTGGTAAAAGTTGTTACGCTTCCCACTGACGCTGCTCAGTTTAGGTCCTGGAAGAATGCTTTCGTGATCAGGGTGTGTGCCATTGACAGGACTGGCGCGGACACGTTGCTCAGGTGGCTGTTGCCAGCCTTCGAGACATCCCAAGACGTAGACTTGTCAGACCCTCTCTTCTTGCAGACTTAAAGCACCTCAACAACGAGTTGGGCATGCAGCTCCAAGGGTACATAGAGGGGTGCCAGCTTCAGTACACGGCCTCTTGGTTGCCCGCAGATTCTTCTTGGGTCAATGCCGTGGACCTAACTTGACTGAGCAAGCGTTGCTGGAGTTGCAGTTAGACACCTTTTCATACCAGTCCCTCCTCGCTGTCGCAAATCGAGTAGAGTATATCCTGAATTCCATACCTGTTGAACATCAACTTTCAGAACAGACTTCGTTTGACGCACACCTAGCCTCTCTTCTTGCAGACCTAAAGCACCTCAACAACGAGTTGGGCATGCAGCTCCAAGGGTACATAGAGGGTGCCAGCTTCAGTGCACGGCCTCTTGGTTGCCCGCAGATTCTTCTTGGATCAACGCCGTGGAGCTAACTTGACTGAGCAAGCATTGCTGGAGTTGCAGTTAGACACCTTTTCATACCAGTCCCTCCTCGCTGTCGCAAATCGAGTAGAGTATATCCTGATTTCCATACCTGTTGAACATCAACTTTCAGAACAGACGAAGTTTACTTGGCTGTTCGGTCGCTTAAAGAAGTGTCGGTTATTGCAGCGGCACATCGACCGGATCAAAGATGCACAAGAGGGTTCTCGGGTCAGGACTTGGGATTGGTTGTTTTCAAAGCTAAAGGCGTTGATTGCTGAGTTGAGGGAGGATGCAAACGAAACGGCCATCAAAGATGCGCTGAGCCCTTCCTCCAACAAGCCAACCAACGCTGCGAAAACCAAGGAACAGCGGGAAAAGGATAGGAGAAGCCGTGACAAAGGCACGGTGGCCGATCCACAAACCAGTGACACACAACCCGCATTGCCTGGTAAGCCAAAGGCTCCACCTAAGGGTCCAGGCAAAGGTAAGGGCCAACAGCCCGGCACTAAAGCCCCGGTAAAGGCTCGCCGAAAGGAGACAAACTTAAAGGTGGTAAAGGCACCAAAGGTACCCCTCATCCACCGCCATGTCGGTTCCGCGGCAAAGCCGGAGCTGCGACCAAAGCCACCGTTGCCGCTACAGTCGCTGCAGTGTTGCCTACTTAGGGCCTACTCTGCCAATGGTATTGGCACGTCTTCGTATCGGCGTGTTAGCTCACGTACTCTTTGACAGAGTTCTTATATGGTTCATGGGGTTGTCCGTCATTGCTACCCCTGCAACAATTCCTTCAGTTGACATCGCGCTGCCCATAGCGCAGTCTGGCTCTTGGAGTGGATAGCAGAATCAGGCGCTGGGCGAAACCTTACGTCGTTCAAGGCTTTGGCTCAACAAGGTGTCGGTCCTGGAGTCGGCGTTACTGCCACCCAGACCGATCCCATAAAGTTTGCCACAGGAAACGGGACCTTTACTGCAATAGAGTCTATAGAGGTCGTTCGCGCGATCGGTTCCAAGTTCGGGAGTTCGGAGTCGTACCTTATGGCTGATTGCCCCATAGCTCGCTCCATGGGAGAGTTAGTAAATCATCACGGTCACCCATTCGTGTGGTTACCAGCATCCCTTCCTTTCCTCCTCCCGGATTCATCGTCAGTAGTCTCGGGTGCTTGTGGCAATATCCAAGTGTGTTCAAAGGATGCAACACATGCCTCGCGCCTTGATGGTCATGTGCCAGTATTTCAAGAAACTGTCGAGTTCGCAGCCGCAGCCCATGGGGCGCCGGCGCCCGCCTGAGGTTGATCCTGGTGAAGCGCATGCGGATTCAGCGTGCGAAAAAGAAATCCCCGCTGAGACCGCGCGTTTGATCAAAGATGCCACTTCTTGTGAACACAAATTGGCCCATAGCCCAGAGAACCCGGCCTGTAAGATCTGTACAACAGGCCCGTGTGTACGCTCGGAAGATAAACAAGCGTAGACCTGATCCATTGCATGATCGCGGTTCGCTCGAGCCGACAACTGCCTTTGGTGAACGCATCGCATCCGACATTGTAGTGGTGTTCAAAGAGTCCTCCAAAGACGGTCGTGAATCCACGTTGTTCGTTATCCGCGATGAATATTCGGGGTTCATAAGATCCTGTCCCTTAGTCAGACGAACGATTGAAAACGTGGGCAGAGCTCTGCTACAGTTCGCTGGAAAACATGCGGAGTCAAAGCCTGTTATCATGTTTAAGTCGGACGACGCGAGGGAGTTGGGATCAGCTTGCCAGCAGGTGTCATGGGTCCTAGAGCCCACTTTGGCTGACGGTTGGCCACACAATTCCGTCCTAGAACGTGACATAAGGGTCTATTCAAGAGATCGCCCGAGCAGTGCATTTGCAAGCCGGTTTCGCAATCAGGCCTGCCTGTGGGTCCTCGTCGGTCTTTGCAACGTTCGTCCTAGACTTGAAGCACAGCGTCGCAGACCGTAAGGAGTCCCGTTATGTAGCCGCCAACAGAAAGAATTCCCAGGACGTCTCCTCCTTCTTGGCCAGCTCGCGTACTACAGAACCGATCCCAAACATCGGGAGAAGTTTGCACCGTCAGCTGCGCCAGCTTGGTTCTGTGGGTATCGGCTCGATTCGGGTCCCGAGTCCTTTAGAGGAGTCTATCTCGTTCTAGACTACTGCGAGGTCCACGCCGGTCCGACCTGGCGATTTCGGTGCCTTTTAAAGAGTTGTATGTCCCCGAGGGTGAAGAGATCTTTCCTTTCAGTCCTGGATGGGATAATCAAGTGTGGGATTACTCCAGGGTGCAGGGCCTGCAAAGGCGAAACTACAGTGCACACTCCAGTGTGTAAAGTTCGCTTTGACGGTTTGGTTGGCGCGCAGACAAGACCGCTCAAGTCAAATCTGTACCCCCTGCACCAGTTAGCATTCCTCCAATGCCAGCGCCTCCGCCCGCGCCTCTCAGCTCTGACGCAAGGGGTGACGAAAGTGTTGATGACGGGAGAAGGGGGCAATGGTCAATAAAGACCTGTTCGTCCCAGAGCCGACTTCCTTGCTCGAGATCGCCAGATCCGTAAGTCAAAGGCCTCGGGCACCGACCAATAAGTCGAGTATTGTTGTAGTGAGAACTCCGAAGTTGGTTTTGCTGGTAAAATGTATGGGGTTGACTGGCTCAGCGTAGGCATGTCGACGATAGACTTCGCAAATCCAGATCATGTTGATCAGGCCAAAGGTCAGATAAAGCAAAGCGCCACAATCTGGAAGTCCATGTCACGCCTTGAGCAAGCAGCGCAGCAACACCCGAAAGTACAATGCCATCGAGCAACTAAGAAAGAGCAGCGCTGAAAAGGCCAAGCGAAAGCTCGCCAGATGCTCAAGCTCGCCATCTCATTAGCCGAAGACAAGCTTTCAGAGGGCTGCCACATCGCAGTGGATTGCCCAGAAGGGGGTTGGCTTTGGAACGAACCAGACTGGATCTCTTTCGAGAAACGCACAAGCCTGAAAAGAGTGGTGCTCCAGGGGGGTTCGTCGGAGATGCCGCTATGCATTAGCACCACTTCCCTTCGAGTGCTCCAGCTGTTTGGACAACAACAGCTTAGTGAGACACGTCCGCTGAGCGTGTCAGAAGGGAACGGCTCTGATCCCTTTGACAAGGCCCTTTGACCACCGCTCAACACAGATTGCGCAGCTGATCGTTGAAGGATTCTTTCCCACACGTTTTTACTGCCGCACGCCTTCGTTGTCCACAGGTAGCGCGTTGGTAACATGCCCTTGCTAAGAGGGAATAGCTGAGAGACGAACGTGGTTTGGAGGCTGTGCAGGCTGAAGGCTTAGGACTTCGCGCCAACCAGACTTGGAGCGATGAGTCTGTGATGCCGCTGTGGCAGCTAAAACAGGAATGCCGCAATTCCGGACCGAGTTCAGATTGCAGAATGCCATTCAAGCCATATCTACAGGCGAAGATCGGTCGAGAGACCTGGGTAATCGTTCCCCGCGAAATATGGTTAGCCGCATGGTCGCAGAAATTCTCACCGGACAGTCGCCTCGTAGTCAAGCTAGAGAAAACTTTGTATGGCCATCCCGTGTCAGGCAAGCGCTGGCAAGACCACTTAACGGTTCAGTTGAAACGGCTCGGCGGCCGCGAAATTCCTTCATATCCAAGTTCATGGTTTTTCGACATAGGATCCCAGAAACTAGGAGTGAATGTATACGTCGATGATTTGACCTTGAGTGGGTCCGTAAAGCTTCACTCCCAATTCTGGCATAAGCTCCTTAGCCTAGTGAAACTTGAGCCTGAAGTCTTTGTCCAAGGTGGCACTAGTGGTTGTAGGATTTTAGGGGCTTTCACGCGTGATGACTCTGTGGCCACATGTGAGTTTGACATGATTGCGTACACGCAGCAACTTGTCGATTTCTATTGTGAAATCACCGGTGTAAAGAAAAGTAAGCTTCGCAAAGTACCGTCACCTGCTTTTCCAGAGAGTCAGGCAACTGACAGCGAACTAAACGGCACCGGCGAACTACACGGAACCGCCTCCCACATCCTAATGCGAGCCCTATGGCTCACTAGGCTAACTCGCCCCGACATCTCGTTCATAATCACCACATTGGCTTCAAAGGTCAGTCGGTGGGATAGATTTGATGACCGGCAACTCCTTCGTTGCATATCCTACCTTCATCACTCAAGCAGGGTGACTTTGAAAGGGTCAGTTTCACAACAGGATTTGGGCTGCCAGGTAAAGGTGTACACGGACGCCGACTTCGCGTCGTGTCCCCTGCCCTCCAAAAGCACGACTGGGTATATCCACTCCATTGGGTGTCACGCAAACAGTCTTCAACCGCCAAGTCTACGACTGAAGCCGAAACGATCTCCCTTGCAACCGCCATGTTTCCCGAAGTGGAAAATCTCCAAAAGTACCTCGGTGACATCCTCGGTTTTGAGATCCCTGGGCAGGAAAATAACACCGTAATTGCCATTCTCAAGGCAGGTTATTCTGCCAAGCTCCGTCATATGCCTAGAGTGCATCGAGTGAACGTGACTTCGATCTGTGAGAGACTCGCAGAGCCGCAGGTTCAGATAACTTATTGCCCTACGGCAGAACTTCACTGAAGAACAACGAGCAAACGGCTTCACAAGAGTAGTTAGTCCCCAGGAATGGCCAGCCATGCTGGAACAACGTTGTTTGTCTGAGGATTCTGCAAATGCCTCAATGCCTGCCGCTCCGTCCCAGAATTTCGTTCCAGAAGATCTTCTCGTAGGTTCTGATCCCGAGTCTGTTGCCGGCATCCTGCCACACAGACTATCGGAACAACCCATTTTGCAGCTGTTCCACCTTCTTCCTCCCGGCGAGTCTTCTCGCCCAGTAGTTTCCTCCGAGGGTAAGGGGTTCACAATTGGAGCATATGCTCATGAAGGTGGTATAGTGGGTTTAAGGAGCAATACGTCCAAGTTCACGGGGGTAACACGCATCCTCACAAGGTTCGTTCGGCAACAAGCCAAAAACTTGACGTTTGCAGCTATAGCCGTGGAAAGAACCACTTCAGTCCCGTGTTGTGCTAGTAGCGTTCACGCCTCGAGCACCAGCTGCACTGAAACCGTTTGAAGTGCGGTTGTTAGATGAATTAGGTTTCCGAGTGCCTCGCTGTTCCTAGAACTAGTTTACCGCAAGTAACTGTTTCACGCTGTCTACAAGGGGGTGTGCAGGCCCATTGTATGTAGATCATCATGAAGGAGTTTCACTCCAAGACGTTACTACCGATTATTTGGCTCAAGACACAAAAGTTGAGCGTGTCTTGTGTGTACGTTGTTAGGTCACAGGTAAACCTCAAAATAGCTATTGCAGTAATGGTAGCAACAGTGATCCTCGTATTGTTGAAAATGAAGGAGTGGAGCATAAGTTTGTCTTTGATCTTGTTCAAACCTCGTTTGAATATTGTTTTTTTGATACTGTTAGAATTTTGTTTGACCCGCATTCCGGTACGCTTGTCAGGTCCAGGAAATCCTGTCCAGGCGGCACGGCATGGCTCAGGAGGTCATCGACCGCATCCCATCTTTCAGGCTCAGACTTAATTCAGGGCACTGCGGCATCGTTATTCATCAGTGGTGATGGCGCTGTGAGCAGCGCAGGTGGACGGAGGACCAAGGCAGACAGACGGGACAGACTCAGTGCATGGTCGGGGCCGCGGCAACAGAGCGAAGTCTGAACATGCGCATTTGTGATCTTGAGGTTTGCCTGTGTCCTTTCGAGGAGGACGACGAGGTGGGATCAAATAAACCCTCACCACAGCCGCTCTGTTGCTCAAGAGGTGCGGCGACTGCCCTGTGGGCACGTTTTCCATCGAAACTGCATTGATGAGTGGCTGCCGTCCAAGTGCGAGTTGTCACTTCTGCAGACTGCCAAAAATTTATTCGCCGTGTGCTGAAGGCTCCGCCGATGCACGGATTGCCCGATCTGCAAAGCAAATGTTGACCGGTCAGTTTTCTCCTGAGGTCTTTACCGTTTCGGGCATGCGAATGCGATAAGTATGTTCGCCGAGGTCCGGCAGTATTGACTCACCTTGACAGCGTCGCAGACCGCATGAAAGAAGGATGGCCCGGAAGTGCCAGTGTGGGAGCTATCGACTCTGCATTTTCGGGGGGGAGGGCCGGCAGAAGGACGAAGAGCTTGCGCCCTGTTGCCTCAGCCGTTTCACGTTTCACCTCTGGCGGCGAGCAACGCCGCTCCTCGTCGCATGGGCGTCGCTCGGAAGCGGGCCTGCCAGGCCAGGCCACCGTGTTGCTCCGCTTCACTTCGCTGCACATGGCAAAGCGCCCGGCACGAGGCAGCGCTGGAAGTCTGCTTCGGTCAGCTTGAGGAGATCACGTCAGAGTCTTGCAGTGCTATGCCCAACTTGGCCTGGATGGAACCGTATAAAGTGCCCAAGGGATGACAACTACTACGACAAAAATCCGCTTTCAGACTGGAATGTTCCTCAACCCCCTCGACTTATGGAGTAGCAGCATACTTCGTGCAAGTTGAGATAAGTTGTCAAGGTTGTGGATGTCCCACGACTTGATGAGTCTTAGCTGGGGCTCATGTCTTCAGGGGCCCATTCAGGGTGGGGCCTCGCCTGTCCGGTCTCTTAAGGAGGCCTGGTCCTTCCTGCATCTTAGCGGGCTCGCATCGGCACTCCTTTGCCTTGTGCTCCTTCGGTTTCACCCTTGGCCATTGCCTGAGCCTTAAGCCGAGGTTCCTGTTGCCTCTTCGCCCATCCGGGCCCTCCTCTTCGAATAAGGAGGTACTTGCATGAGCGATAAACGCCCCAGACAGCCTCGACCTTGACGCCCGCTCGGACGTTCTGCAACAGTTGCTGGAGGTCCGAGCCTGACCATTTTCGCCCCTTGGAACCCGACCGCACTTCCTGCATGTGTGTTCTTGTGCTGTTCCTTGGGCGTTGTTCGCCAACCTTGGGCCCAATGTTGGACAGCAGGGCTTTTCGCGGGAAAGGCCTAGCGTGGGAGCTGGACTGTGTGTGCCCACTCCCGACCGAGATCAGTGTCAAGAATGTGGTCTACGTGGTCCTTTGCGCCGCGGCCGATCGCGGCCCCGCCTTCTTCCGGAGCTTCGCTGATTCAAAGGCCACACGCAAAGAGCTCTTTGCCACAGATTCTTGAGTGGTTGACACCGAGGTGTCATTCAAGCTGTGGTGCAATATTTTTCCGAATGGGATGCACGCTTGAGATGCAGTGCTGGAAACTTTGGGAGTGTCGGGAAAGTTTTCTCCCAATGGCATAGCCGAAGCCGTGAACCCTCCGTTCGCAGTGCAAAAACAGCTTTGCAGCTGTGCTTTGAAGCACCAGAGATACGAGCCTTTGTATAGGCTGAGGATTTTGCGCGGGCTGGTGATGCTGGCGAGCTGTATCCGTTTCGGAGAAAGCCTATATCGGTTGTGGAAGATCCGGGTAAACGTAAAGCTTGAAAAAAACACCGCATTGGTGACACCTGCTGGGCTGGGGGGCTCTGGCTCAGCTCTGAGTCTGAGGCCTTTCGCCCGAACTTTACTTGGCTGTGCGCCGCCCGCCGCGACCGGCCTGTCTCTCCAGAGTGCCTGCAGTGCTCCGAGTGCTCGCTTTTTTGCAGGTACAGCTTGTGGCTGTTGCCTATGTCTGACTTCAGCGATCGCCTTTGGAGGCTTCGGATGCCTTCGGTTCACGCGGCGTTAACGCGGCGCCGCGAGACTCCGTCGCAGGTTTCCTGGACTTGACCTTGCAGGGCCTCCGCGAGCGGTGGCAAGAAGCGGAATGCCAGGTGGGGTGGGCGTGGGCGACAGGCCGAGAGAGTTTTGCCGTTCTTCTCTCCGTTCAGGTGCTGGGACCAGGACGCATGACCACCTTGGCAACGACCTGCGAGGAGTTCGACCCTACGAGCAGCTGCTCGAGGCCACCAGAGAGCGGGGAGCGCTGTGAGGGCTGCAGCGCTGGCAAAAGGCTGGGCGAGTATCGCAACGTGCTCTCCAGCATCTTTGTGAGCTACTGCCGGATGCCGAGCGGCACCGGGCACCGCTCAGTCGCTCAGGAATCTCTTGTTGAGTTTTTGTCGCAGGCAGAACTGCGGAAGACGGGGGTCTCTGCTTTGATGCACAGGCGCCCAAGGGCCCAAAGGGCCCAAGGGTGCGCAAAGCTTGGCTCAAGCTAACATCGAACCGCCAGGCCGACCGATGCGGCAGCGACTCGCCCATCGACCTCCAAGAGGAGACGCAAGTGAAAAAGGTGGCGGAACGCAGAATGTGCAGAGGAAGCGGAGCTGCGCGGAGCCGTTTCTGGTTTGTCCTTGGGCAGGACCGGCGCTTGCAGCTGTTGACGCAAAACCGAAGCAGGCGAGCCCCACTCCCCCTATCTCTCCCCCTATCTCTCTCTCTCTCTCGCTCTCTTTTTTTCTCTCCCGAGGATTCCCTGCTGGTACAACCGCCTGGAAGATCAAACCGAAGATGCTCGGGACGAGGAGGCACTTGGAGGGCCGAATGCGGCGCAGTGCGGGCGCACAGATGCTCTCCGTTCTCGCTTTGTGCGCTCGAGGCCACCGAGGCCTTTTGCGCGGCGGCCAACACGTCCACGTGCAGCTTCCAGAAGACCTCGCAGGCCCGACGCCGTCGCCCCGTCGTTTGCGTGCATCGACCAGGATGCCTCGACATGTACTGCTGCATTTTAAATTTTACATGCACGTGCCGACTTTGCTGCTCGTTGCCGGCTCGCTTGCTCTGCGCTCTGCTGCGCTTTGCTGTCTGCCTTCTGCCGCTGATCACATCTGATCACATCTGAGTCCAAGTGTACATGCTCACTCAAATGCTGCATGCATGCTCACAGGTTGAGTGCTTTGGCCGCTGTTCTCGTGTCAGCAAAATCGTCCATGTGGCGTGCATGATGTCCCCGAAACCCGCTCATGGAGCAAGCTCGGCCGCACCGCAGCAAACAGACGCCCAGAGAAGTAAGAAGCCTGCGCATTGCGCATGGCACTGGCTTCTTTCTCCTGCCGTGCTGCGTTCTTCTGCGGCACAGGGCCCCGCATGCCCCGCACATGCCCGAGGCGCGCTACACGCTGCGCTTGGAGGCAGAACCCTGCATGCCTCGCCCGGCAAAAGGCGGAGCGCAGCGTGAGGGCAGTCTCAGGAAGTCGCTGTTTTTGGTTTTTTTGGGGCTGAGACAAGGCAGCATTGGCATTTCGGTGATCCTGGGCGGCCTGCTATTGGGTACGAGTCTTGAAGCCCTGTCGTTTCTTGCCGTCGCGAGCGCTCACCCAGTGAGGCTTCTTCGCTTGTGGCTTGGCGTGCGCACTCCGTGCCAGGCCATTCTGCCATGTCGCATCATGTCGCTGTGGCTCCGGCATCCCTGCGTTGCCTGCTGAGGCGGGAGCTGCTGACGGATTACGAGGACGAGTTCACGGAGCACTGAGCCTTAGCAGAGAGAGCACGCCAGCTGCGCCAGCTGCGCCAGCTGCGCCAGCGCAGAGACCTCCCAGACCTCCCCCAGCAGAGCGGCGACCCCCGGTGCTCCGACGGCCGAGCAGAGAGACGCTTCGCTGACGCTTCTGACGCTTGCGGACGCTTCCGCGGTTGCGGGTGGAAGAAGTTGGCGCCTCTGCCCGCGGGCACGGCACTTGTAGCGGCAGCGGCGTTCTCATAGCTTCTTCGCTGCTGCTTCGGCTTGTGAAGCGGGCATGGTAGGCTGACAGTTCTCATGATGAGAACTTCTCATGACCCAAATGCAAGACTTTCCGGTACTCGGTGTTGATCTTGCATTGTCTTGGTGATGGAGCCATGCACTCGCGGTCTCAGCTTCGAAGGCGGGTCGGGAACCGGTCTCGCGTTGCGAGACCGCTGCCGCTGTGCTGCTTTGCAGGCGGCTTTACGAGGAGCCATCGCCATCGCCCTCGCCAAGGAGAGGGAAGAAAGCCAAGTGCAAGAAGGTCTGAGTCTGTTCTTTTTGCCTTTCGTTGCGAGGGCCCGGACTCGTCCTTGCGAGAGGGCCGGCGCGCGGCCGAACTCGGCCCGGCTCGGTCTCAAGGAGACATTTCCTGAGAGCTCCTGCCGTCGTGCGAGTGCTCGTGCCGCGATCTTCGGGGGAGGTCGCAGATGCTCAGAGGCTCCTGGACAAGGTCTCCGGAAGGAGCCGGCGCGCCCAGCGCGGAGTAGAGCTGAGCTTTTCCGGTCCCCGGAGGAGCCCAGGACCAGCGGCAGCCCCCGCGGCGGCTGCGGCGGCCGCGGCTCCGCAGCTCGAGAGCCTCTCCTCTCCGCTTCTGCCGCCCTTGCCACAGGCGGCGGCAGCGGCAGCGGCACAAAACCTCAGACACATCTCTACATCTCTATCTTCATCTCCGAACGGGATAGATAGATTACCCTCTCGATGTAGGTAGGTATGCGAACCTCTAGCTTCGGCCGGGGCCGAGCCGAAAAAACCCAACAAAGAGTGAAGGAAGTGTTTGGGGCCAGGCCGGCGAGACGGGCGCCCGGGTTGTTTCCTTGTCGCCTGAGATGCGGCACGAGCCGGAGCCTTCCGCCTGGGCCTACCCACAGACTTCCCAGCTCGGCATCGCCCACGTGCGACGCGGCCGCAGAAAGACAGGGGCGCTTACAGTATACGCCTCTCGCCTGCTCTTCGCTCTCTTCTCTCGCTCTCTCGCCCTCTCGCCCTCTCGCCCTCTCGCCCTCTGCTCTGCTTAAGGGACGTGGAACCCGAGAGCGACTCGCAGGAGGCCCCCGCGCGCGGACGCGCGCCGTAGCTGCGCGCCCCACCACGCCCTAAACCTGCGTTGTTCCTTTTATAGGGCTGCTGAATGAGGAGTTTGGGTCGCTGGGACGGCCTTTCGACATTTTTCTGGAGATTTTGAGAGGGGCCGAGCAGCGGGAGGAGACGCTGGGGAAAGAGTTCGTGTATGTCCGGCACGTCGAGGGTGGCAGCGCCTACGACTTGGAACTGGTGCCCTTTAGGGAGGTGCAGTTGGAGAGCTACATGACCGCGGGCGGGCGCCGAAAGGCAATTTTTGTTTTTTTCTTTTCACGGGAAGGCTTCATCCCGAGCTTCCTTATAATAGGTTGCAAGTGAAAGTAGTGAAAGTAGTGAAAGTCGCAAGACAATGTGCTCCACAGCTCTTTTGCTGCGCCAGTACAGTCAGTTGTTCCACTAGCAGGGGTGTCTTGCCCGAGGAAGCAAACCCAGGCCCTGGCACTCATGCAAGAACTCCCAACTTGATTCGCGAGTCGTCCGAGTCGGTCTTTTTTTTTCCAGGGTTTACGTGGAGAGACTCCGCGCCTGAAGGACCGTGAGCCCTGCGGGGATGTCAACGTATGTGAAGGGTTTGCCGACGGCCTTCGTCTCCCTGAAGAGCTGGCTGCAGGAACGGCGGCTCTTCCGGCTTTTGCGGCGTTTTAACTTCTTCCAGGAGTTTCCCAAAAGGAAGGCCTTCTTGCACTGGCGGAATGCTGGGAGGTGGGGTCGGATGACGAAAGCCGGACGAGTGCTGGAAGAGCGTGTCTTCTTCCTGCACCCCTGGTTCCGTCACTAGGCCTTCACATGATCGTGCCGCGCTTTCTTCAGAGGGCTCCAGACAGAAAGTAAGGTTCGAGCTACTTCGCTGTGCGCGAGATTTTTCAGGATGTCGCCAACTTGCGATGCTTGCGGTGCCATTTTCCCCAGCCTCAGACTTTGGCGGAATTCCAAGTGGCGCAGAAGAACTGGCAGCACGACCTCTTCCAACGTGCCCGGCAGTTGGCCGCCAAGGTGATGACGGACCGCTCTTGCAGAGTGCAGAGGGCGCTTTAGCCTGTAGCGGCTTTCATTTGAGTTCGACTGAACTTGGGCCTTTCTCCTGCAGGAAGTCTCGCGCATTTTGTCTTCGGTGATCGATCAGGTGCGGTCGGCGGCTCCCGGCGCGCTCGGATCGGAGAGCAGTCCTCGCGACCGCGGCGACGCACGCGCCACTTCCGGAGCGCTGAACTTCGCGCCGCACGTGCAGCGCTTTCTCCCCTCCGCAGGTGCGCCGGGAGACCAGCGACAACAGCGAGTTCACGCGCCAGGTCTTGGTGAGCGCCGGGGGCCCAGAAAGCAGGAGGGAGAGGGGAGAGAGGAGAGAGTCGAGAGACCGCGCCCACGCACGATGCCGCCAACGCTGCAGGGCCGTCAGCTGGGTTCCGCGGCCATCGTGCGTGCCGGGATGGACCAAGAGGACAGCGAGGCGCTCGAGCGCCTCGGCTTCTCCAAGGACCAAACGGCGGACACGGTTGGGGGACAACGGGGGGCAACAGAAAGGGGGGCTCTGTTTCGGCTTGGCGGCTTAAGTCCTCTTCTAGAGAGATCGTCACATGACATAGTCTCACAGTCTCATCACAGTCTTCTTTTTGCGAGCTCTCGATCGTGTTTTTGGAGTCGCCCCCGACTCGGGCTCGAGAGAGGACGTGAGCTTCGCGCAGCGCTCGCGGCTGCGCTTCGAGTGTGGGCGGCTCCTGCGCTTCGCGCGTTTGGTGGACCTCCTCTGCACCGAGAGCCTGGCGCCCCGCGGGGAAGAGGGGAAGAGGGGAAGAGGGGAGGGCGGAGGGAGAGCTCGCCTTTGAGAGACAGGTGGAGGTGCTGGAGGCCTCCATCGCCGAGACCGTGCGGAGCCTCGGTTTGGAACAAGGCGGGGGCCAACGCGAAGCCCAGAGACAGAGAGAGAGAGCTCTCTCACTCTCTCTCTCTCTCTCTTTCTCTCTCTCGCTCTCTCTCTCCTTTTTCTGCAGGCCGTCCGGAGGAAGGGAGCCTCGGCACAATGTTTTAGGGCCCGCCTTAATTCCTTTTCCCTGTAAACGCTCAGCGAGCTGCGAGGCACGGCTCGCAGATCCTCCTGAAGGTGACCTCCGCAGCGCATGCAGACCACGTGGCTCAGACCATGGCTGTCCAGCTGCTCCTTGGCCACGCCACGTCGACACGCCATGGCCACGTGGCTTTCCCTGTCCGCTTTTGGCTGCAGGTGCCCAAGTGACGTGGATGTCTCAGTGGAGTTCATCAATTGGTTGCGGCACGGCTGTACGTTGGCCACCTTCTTCACCTGCAACTATGCATCGCCGGCACCCGGGAAGCAAATGCAGATGGGTGGTCACAATTTGTCACCAGTCAGGTGTTGCCTTTCGTATGTTCGTGTGTCGTGTGCGGGATGCCGCTGTGCATTCGGGGAGACTTCCTTTACCGAGCCAAGCAGCAGTTTTTGGCAACAAGAAAAGTAAGCAGGATGTGGAATGGGTGTCCCAACGAAGCTACCTGATCTTATCCAGCTCTGCGTATCTGAGCAGACGGGCCAAAAGGCTACACCACAATGTGCACGGAAGTACACGTTGTTAACTGGCTGCAAGGAGGGTTTTCAGCCGAGAGGAAGCTAGGTATTGAGATCACTGAAGGCCATGCAATGTGGGCCTGCGGACTTTGCCATGCGTCATGGTTGCTCAACAGGTGTCATCGTCATGCTGCTATTGGATTTACACCGTATGAAAGTGTAGTGGGAATACTGTATCTTGGCAAGATTGCACCTTTTGGAGAGTATGTCTTTGCGCTCAAGAAGCCCGAGAAGAAAGGTATGGCGAACTGGATTGGTGGAATCGACCGAGGCAAGAATGCTCAGGATCTACACTTGGTAGGTGTCGAGGATGGAGTTCTTGCGACAGGATCAGTAAGAAGAGTTGCTACTGGATGGAGAAAGGAACCAGTGTTGAAGAAAAGTGGAACTCCATGGAACCCAAAGAAGCCTAAAGGTAGTTATGTCAAACAACCACTACCAGCCCGCGCACTTGCAAGTATTGCTGAGGAAGCTACTGTGCAGGAACCCGTTGTTCGAGAAGGAGACCGAGGTCAGTCCCAGACAGAGCAGTTGGAACAAGTCCTGGATTTACTTGATACGGACTTAGGAGCCTCAAATGGAGGCAGGGCAAGTTCATTCAATTCCAGTGTGACAGATGCACCAGCAGCTCCAGAAGAAGAACTGGTCAGCGATGACACGATGCTTGAAGAGCTCAAGAAGCGTACTTTGGAGAACGCTCAATTACAGGGCGAAGAGTCATCAGCCAAGAAAACCCGAGACGAACGAACAGAACCTTCGTCACCCCCTAAGGCAGTGTACCCGCCGCTTTTCGCATGCAGGGTATCACAGGAAGAGGACCCATTTCATTGGGGTGAGCGTGAAGATCTTACTGCAGTAGAAGGAGAAGATGTCGAGTATGAAGATCTCATGGAAGAAGTAATGGAGGACATGCCGAAGAACGAACACAGGAGAAACCCCACCAGAATTGAGCCCCGAAGAATTGGATGCCAAGAGGCAGCGGTTGAAGAATTGAACCGGCTCAGTAAAATCGGAGTAATCGAAGAATTCCAGGAAGAACACGCGACAGAACAGGAGAAGCGTATGGATCTCAGAGAGGTATACGATTGGCGATTTAGAGACGGACGATGGAAACGTCGTTGTCGTGTTGTAGCACGAGAGTACCGTGCTGGAGCCAGTTCAACGGCAGAGACATTTTCACCGACAGCTTCAAGTGCAGCAGCAAGTTTAGTTTTGATGCTGCACCTTATTTTCCCGGATTGGGTTATTGTGGTGTTGGACATCAAGGATGCTTATTTGCAAGTACCTCAACAAGA